TTTCTTTCTTTCTTTCTTTCTTTCTTTCTTTCTTTCTTTCTTTCTTTTTTTCTTTCTTTCTACCTAAACCTAATATTTCATGTCCATCTAATGGTATACCTTCTTCAAGGAAATTTTAACTCACTCAACACTGATCTTTCACTTAATTTCATCAACCCTTTTGATTTTATTATATGGCCTATCACCATTCACTGGAATGATATGATAGTCTGCCTCATCCTCAGTTGTTTCACAGGACCTAGACCTATGTTCCTCACCAAATTATGGCTTCCTTGGGGGCAAAAGAAGACCACAAGTCCATAAACAAATGAGAGAAGAATAAAAGAGTTTACCCTAATGCTCCATATAACATTCCCTTATATTTCATCCTTGAAGAAAGTTATCATCCATTGATATCCTTCTAGTTCTGCAACTAGAAAAGGAAGCAACACTCAAATCTGGCTTGAACAGAGAATGAGTTAAAAGAGTTGCCATCTCTAACCCTTTCTAGGTGGATGTGGAACTTATCAGTGCACAGAATATTTCTGGCTTTTCTCCTTCTGAGCACATAAGGGGAATATCATTCTTGACCCCATCTGAAGTTAGCACAGCCATATCCTTTGCATTAGTCAATTAATGTGATCAGAAGTAACAAGTATCACTTAGGGAGAAGCTTTAATATTTTGTGCTATTTTCCATTTTACTTTTTCCTTCCTGCAGTAATTGTGAAAGAATGGAGGTAGACCCCCTTTCTCAGCCAGGGTCTCTAAATGAGGATAATGTACAGCAGAGTCCCCAGCCAACTAATGATGTACATGTAACAGGAGCAAGAAACAAACTTGTTTTAAGCCACTAAGTGGCTTAAACCACTAAGGTTTATCACTGCAGCATAGCCTATGCTGCCTCATGTAATAGCTTTCTTAGGTCAATATGGGACTCAGAATGTCAAGATATGAGAAGACTGAAAAACTGAATGACTAAATTAAAGCATCTTAAAATATAATCCATAAATATATAAGATTAGGCATTTCATTTTTTAATCTGGTGGGTGAAGAATCAAGCTCAAAAGATCCTTCAAACATCTTACTGAGTTGTTTACAATTTCTTTTCTTTCTCCTCTTTGACATCCATCATACTTTCAAACTGTGTACATTATTTTGAAATTTTTACTGACCATAGACTCCACTAAAAATCTCAACCATCACAAAATTTAGTGTTAGCGTTCTTTAACTTCTATATATGTAATATTTCTGATCGAATATTAAATACCATTTGTGTCCTTGTAGCTACAGCTACAAAATGATATGCATATTTTGGGCATTATTTTGCTATTGACTGCTATTTGCAGTCAAAATAAGAAATCACAGATCTAGCTTTTTCATCTAGATAAAAGCTTCTTTTACCTAGTTACGGCATAAATGTACACTTTAAAAATTTTATTTATTGTTTTCTTAGATTTGTTTCAAAAAGGAAAAGCCAAAATTTCCAATATGATATATGAGGACCTACTGAATATGCTTCTTTTGTTTTTACTTTTATTCTTTTTTATATAGTAATATGCTGACAAATACATTCCCCTATGACTACATTCTTCACCACACATAAGTACTATATATTACGAATAATGAAATTTAAAAAGCACAATGAAAGAACAGAACAACTGTTTTTTTATTTCTCACTCTTGAGGACTCATTGCAATATTTCCTGCTCCATATTTAGTTTGAGAGCTTCTGAGAAGTATTCTTAGAATTTGGATCTTTTGGAAAGAATAATGATTCAATTAGAGTTTTTTTAATCATGATGATTACTTTATGATAATGATCTCATATGGCTAAGATGTTGTACTTATATCACACTTAGATGCAACATTTCATTTTAGCAAATACCAAGAATCATCCATGACTTTATTATTGTACCTGATTTTTACAAGTTCTTTATCCAAGAACCTCTTCATTCTCAATTTAAATGGGGATACTATTTGATAAAGTGCAGTGATAACCAGTACCAGCTGAAAAACATGACAAAATGAAGAATGTCAGAACCATTTGAGAGCAAACCAGAAATTCCCATTTGTAGTCTTAAAAATCCAGCTTGGAATTGGTTCAGAAACCAGTCTTTCAAAGGTGGCTCACAATTCCCTTTAAGTTTCATTGGAGGAATCTAGACTTCAGTAATACACATGATATAAGGCATTAGTTTCCTCCACAATAAAGGCAGGGAACCAAGAATATATCACCATCACCATTTCCAATAACATCCTGCTAGCTAAAAACTGAAACTAGCCAAATTGCTGACAACTTCATTCATGGGAGTGGCAAGACATGGATAGAAAGAGCATTTAAAAGGAATTATTAGAGTGATTAAAGAAAAAAGTTTATTTTGTAAAAAGATTAACCATTTTTTTCTTTTGCCATCCCCATTTAAGGTATTCAATTTACCAATGCTCATTCAACCAATATCTACTGAGCCCTGACTATGTTAGAGAAATGAAACCCGTGGCATTGCATAGAAGCAGGAGGTGGGTCAGGATATATGTCATAGGAGCCGCACACACAATGCTGGCCCTCTCAAGAAAGCTTCCAGTGACAGGGCCAGGGAAAGCTTAGTGTGAGAGGTGAGTCTTAAAAAATAGGTGAGACTAAAAAAAAAAAATAGGTGAGATTTTAGTTGGTATAGATGAGAATAATAAAACAGAGAAAATGAATGAAGAGGCCAATAGAGGTGACAAGGAAATGAGTATACTGTCGTAATTGCAGAGCACTTAAGCAAAAGGGAAGTATGAAAATGGGATGGTTACAGTCAGCAGGGTCAGAATTTTAGTTGTTGATGATGGTGATGGGTTTCGGGGTGGTGTGTTTCAATATAGCGAAGTTGTCCTCCTTTGAGGGAGTTGAATCACTTTCATAGAAGAAGAAAGGAATGGTATGAAGAGTCTAGCCCTGGAAATAAAAAAACACCTCTTTCTTTGAGATAGGAAACCATCCTTCTTTACTAAGAAAAAACATCTAGGGTCACAATATCTAATGTGCTCTCCCTTTCTTTCCTTCTCCTCTACGGTAAAGTACCTCAGCCTCTAAACCTATCTTTTCATCAACACATACATTCATTTTAACACTTATTGAGCACCTACTATGTGCCAGGAATAAGCACAAGAGCCTGTCACATGGTTGATACTCAAAGTTTGCTGCTTTAAAGTAGAGAAAAGGAAAAATGAAAGAGCACTAGGTATCTGTAAATTTCTCAGTAAAGTAGGATGGATATTATCTGGTGAGAATGGAAAGGGTAAGTAGTGAATTAGATGTGTGAGCAGAAAGATCTGAAGCACCTGCTGAGGGAAGTGTGCTGGGGAATAAATGGGAGATCAATATCAAGATTGTGAAGCAGCAATGAGAACCCAGTTGGAGTAGGTTAGATTGATTTTGCATTGGACCAGAGGAACAGATAGTGGAATGACCTTCTCCAAGAATACTATTTGAACAAAATTCTCCACAGAACAGGAAAAGGATGAGTGAAACATATAAGGGTAGGGTGGTGACTAAAGGTCAGGTTTGGCATGGCAGAAAGATAAGGTTTAATAAATGCAAAATGGAGTTTCTCACTTTCCAAAAAGCAAGCCTTCTCTCCTCCAAATAATGTAGTGTTACATGACATTTCTCTCATATTCTTAACCCATAAAAAATGAATTAGAATTATATTCTAAACTTTCCTATTCTAAAATCACATTCTAACATGACTTCTGAAATAGTTGTATAATTAGTAAACCTGTTTTAGAATGATTTTATGTCAAAATGTCCACAGAAGTGTCCTCTTACGATAAACTTCTGTCCTAATTTTCATAAAACTATACAAATATTAAATGTAAGATGTTATAAAATTGATATTACATAAATAACATTTACTTTTCCATTGTGAGATTTTGTATGTGAGAAATCCCATACTATAAGCCTTATAAGTTATTTTTAAAAAATAAATGGGAGATCCTTTCGGATGACATTAAATCTACACAAATTAAAGAACAGCCTCTACTGATTTAGCTATTGTCACATTCATTTATGCTGCTCATTAGCTAGTCAGAATTTGTATATCCCATATGTCTGCATATCTGAAATGACCATAAGAAGATATGGCACAACAGTATTAGCTTATTCAAAAATGATATGATTGAATACAACACAATTCTAAAACTCTATGGCAAAATTAGTATCTTTTATTTTAAATCAATCTTCTGACACCTGGATTTTCCTCACTTTAGATGGGTTCCTAGTCTTAGATGAAAATAAGCCGACTGACTCTTGTTATTCTCAATTCTTCTCTTTCAGAAGTCAGGTAAAGTCAAAATAAGCTATTATGTAGCAGTCAGGAAAATACCATGCTAGAGGGTGAGAATTCAAAAGTTCTTCAGTGTATATATAGAGTATCTTTTCCTTTGGGAACCCTTAAATTCTCAGGATAGGGTTGGGTACACACTAGACACTAAATACTTGTGTGACTAGACTCCATACAACCCAAGGATGGATCTGTATCTGGCCTATTCATAGCTGGATCTCCATTGTCTACCAAAGCATCAGTCACATTACTGATACTAAGGAGGAAGGAAGCCGGGAGGCCCCAAAATAGTTCAATTGTAAGTAATAACATTCTCCTAGGCAGTATCTTGAAAGGGTCAGACACTAAACATCTGCATTTTAACAACTGTCTTATAATAGCACATGTTATTAAACACCAAAGGACTTTTGAAACTACTCACATTAAAAAAATTTAGAAAATTGCATTCAAATTATAGATAATCTACATATGAAATCACTTGCAGTTAATGTGTTGCTTAATAAGCATACATTTGTTCCTGTAAATTTGGTACTTTCTTTGCTGGTGATTTAACTAACTCACCTTTTAGAGGAAGTTGTAGATTTTAAATGTCAATAGTTTTATCTTTTCTTCTTCTTCTTCTTTAGGGAGATACTGCTGCTGCCTGGTAAAGAGCAGGAGGTAAAACAAGCTTAAAGAGTTTTGTTTATTATTATCACAGTAACAGTTCAAAGCAATAACAAAAAAATATATAGTTTATTATCATCCTTAGGGAGGTTTTCCAAGTGTTTTGGAACCCCATTTGTATTGACAAAAATAAATTAGACGAAATTGGCTGAAAAGAGAGCTCTCCATAAGAAGAGTTCAAAAGATGAATTATATTACTCTTCAGTTATTGATAATAACAATAATTTAGCTTACTACTTCAGTTTATAGTTTACAACATGCTTTCATATACTCTATCTCAATTGATTTGAACAACTTGTAAGTTAAGTCATGCAGCTAATATTAGACCATTGATTTTTTTTTTCCTATTTCCTTGATTTTTCAAGCAATTTGGTCATTGTAGAAAATTATAGGAAAAATTGTTAGGAAAGTATACAGAAAAAGATCACTCTAAACCAATCATGGTTAATATTCTGGTGAATTTCCTTTCAGTCTTTTTTCTGTGCATTATTCTAGTGTTTGAGTTAACAATCTTTACAATTTACTATACTACATTTTTCTTTTGACATTATAACAAGCACGTTCCCATTTTGTTTGAGTCTTTAAGTATCATCTGAATAAATTCACAAGATACTTCTATAGTTTTTAAACACGTATAAATAAAAAGTATTTTGGGGAAAAAAAGGTATTTTGGATATCTTTATGCTCAAAACTTTGTGTGTTTTAGAATAATTTCTTAGAATAGATGACAAGATTACATTTACCAAATACTAGAAGCAGCCACAGGATCAGAAGGGATTTGATTTTATGTAGTCAATATTACTGCCTTTGGGAACAATCCTATTTTTATAATCCTTAAAAGTTATAAAAAATTTTCCTTGCATCTCCCTTAAATGTTAAAGACAGAAGTCCTCAAATCAGTTTTCATTTTGTCTTATTATGTTCTCTGGTGAAGAAAGAAAACAGTTAGTTGCTATCTTAGTATAAGATACTTAAAGAATATCACCAATTTTAATTATCATTCTCTTTTCAAAAAGATAAAGAAGTTAAAATAATGATCACTAACTTTACTGAGAACTCACTATGTGCATGGCACAGTGTGCTAGCCTTTCACATGCATTAATTTAATAAAGATAATTACACAATTGAGAAAGGAAATGAAGAGTAATCACTTCAACAACTAGGTTTGGTGAGCCAATTTATCAACACAGGAAGTAGGTTTAGGCTTCCCTTAAATAAATGTAGAATATAAGAAAAACTGCTGCTAGTCAGCCAGGAGATATACCAAGAGACACTTTCTGATCTTGGGGGATATTATAGAATCTCCAATTAGGGAAGATCAAATGGAAGAAGAAAACAATTGGGAGAAGGAATGAATGACATGTGTACTTTTAATTTCTTTCTTTTTAAAGTAATACATGGTTGAAAATAGAAGAGGTAAGGATGGGAATATCAACAAGAATCAAAGAACAGAATATAGTCAAGTGATGAAAAAAGTGCTACCACTGTCCTGTGAATTTTTTTATATTATCTAATTTCATCCAACTCTATGAAGTCAGTGGGATTATCCCCACACAATCCAAGGAAGAAATTGATCAGCAAATGCTTGACAGAATATAGAAATCTGGGTTAGAAATATTAAATGAATACACTTTATATTTTCAAAGAGATAAAAGAGGAAATCAAAAAACAAATAAAAATAGGTGATGAAACACACACAATAACCTAGTAGTTAAGAAAAATAACCAGTCAGACAGCTTAGAAATAAAAACTGTATTTTATATTTTAAAAACTCAGAGAATGGGCTAAATGGCAGGGAAAATACAGATGAAAGGAAATTAATGAGTAGGAAGATAGAACTGGGGAAAGCTCCCAGCACCAAGATAAAAGAGAAATGTAATATATATAAGAGAAATGACACTAGAGTACATATTTTCAGGAGGGAAGAACAGAGAGAATGGTAGGTGGGCAATGTCTTAAAATAAAATGACTAACAATTTGGCAGAATTCTTTTAAAAAGACCCATGTGTACAGATTTAAAATAATTATCAAATGTTGATCAAAATTAAGTTTAAAAAACTTGTATCTAGGGGTGCCTGGGTGGCTCAGTCATTAAGCATCTGCCTCCAGCTCAGGTCATGATCGCAGGGTCCTGGGGTCAAGCTCTACATCGGGCTCCCTGCTCAGCGGGAAGCTTCTTCTCCCTCTCCCACTCCCCCTGTTTGTGTTCCCTCTCTCACTGTGTCTCTCTGTCAAATAAATTTTAAAAAATCTTAAAAACAAAACAAAATAATAAAAACATATCTAAATTCATGGTGAAACTTGTGAAAAGTAAAGTATATTGTCAAGCTTCCAAAGAAAAAATACTAAATACTATAAAAAATGAGAAAATATTGTCATTATATTTCTCATCAGTAACATTAGTAGTAGGAAAAAAACAAAACCCGGAAAAATACTTGCAAGGTACTGAGGAAAAATAATAAAAACAACTTTGAACCTAGAAACCTTTGACAAGTCAAACTATCTATCACTCAAGAGTGATGACAAAATAAAGATTTTTCAGTCATATGAGAATATAGAAAGTTTAACACCCACAGATCTTTAAGATGTTTAGAGAAGTGGACTTGTAATTGTAGTTCTTGAAACAAACAGAACCACTCTATAAGGGGTGTTAAATCAGTCAGAGAATGAACTTTTAAAAACAGTGGAAAATTAGAAGTCGCGCCATTGTCAGGGACACCTGGGAATCGTCTGTGCTTTTCCCAACACCCTCTCCCTACAATGAAAACATAGCCTTGTTGGTACTAATGGCTTAGCATAAATTTGGCTTTCTCAATTCTGAAGGGTGTTACCTGTACCAAGTGTCACAACCATTGCATGACCCATAAGGGAATCAAAAGGCCTAATAAAAGTGACAGACCTCTACATCTGACCAAGATGGAGTAATAGGGTCCAGATTTATCCTCCCACTTAAACAACTCGGGGGGGGGGGGAAGCTAAAACAGGAAAAAAAAAAAAAAAGCAACTGTTTTTAGCTATTGGATAATAGGAAGTATAGAACTGTGATCCCTGCAAGAAAGAAAATGAAGAAGTTGAGCCCAATAATTGCACCAGTTTACTGCCCAGAGACAGTTTCCAGTCTGCAGGTCAGGAAGGTAGAATGCAAATAAAGTCTGGTTGTCTCACTGGGTTGAGGAGACAGCAAACAGAGTTTGGGGAGTCAAGGCAGTGAGAGTTGGTGGAACAGAGTACCAGAGAAAAGGGAGCTCTGCAGAGAGGGTTCTGGAGATCTGCAGAGGGGTCTCCTTGTGTCTTTGGCTGATTCAGGTATATGTGAGAGGAAAGTAGTCAAGGCTGGAAACTAATAGGCAAAACAGTTCCCAGTGTTCATAGAAGGAAAGGGATAAGAATACTTTGTTTTCACCAAAAAGAGTGAAAACCTCTTGCAATACAAAGAACATTAACTAGAACACTCAGAATGGGTATCACCTTCATTGTGGGGCTAATTTAGCCCTATCCTAAGGCTACTCTAAACATTCCAAGACAAAGCTTAAAACCAAGTATCTAATCGATTACATATAACTTAACTGTGCATCAAAATAAAACCCTATTTAAATGAATGCTTCAAAACCCATAAAGCAACAATGTAAAAATTTATAATGTCTGGCAATCAAAAAATCAGAAAAATATGACCCATAACCATAACAAAAATAAATCAGTAGAAACAGACCCAGAAATAAGAGTGATGTAAATAACAAAGATATTTAAAATAGCTAATGTAAATATATTCTATATGTTCAAGAAAATATGAGCAAACATGACCATGATGAGAAGAGATATGGAAGATATAACGATTCAAATGGAAATTTCAGAGAAGTACAATATAAAAAATGAAAAGTACACTGAATGGGATTTAAAACAAATTAAACACTTCAGAAGATGATACCAGTGAACTTGAAGACAGCAACAGAAATTATCCAAAATGTAGCACCAAGGGAAAAAGACTGGAAAAGAAATGAATAGACTTCTGGGATAATACCAGGTGGCCTAGCAGAAATAGAACTGGAGTCCCGAAAGGAAAATAGAGACAGGAGATGATAGAAAAAATATTTAAAGAATAAAAGTTTAAATTTTCTAAAACTGATGAAAACTATAAACCCACAGATCCGGGAAGCTCAATGAACTCCAATTGAAATAAAAATAAAGAAAACTATGCGAAGGCACAGCATAGACAAAATTGCTGAAAACCAGCTACAAAAAGAAAAATGTTAAAAGCAGCCAACGAGGGGCACCTGGGTGACTCAGTGGTTGGGTGTCTGCCTTTGGCTCGGGTTGTGGTCCTGGGGTCCTGGGATCAAGCCCTGCATCAGGCTCCCTACTCGGTGGGAAGCCTGCTTCTCCCTCTCCCACTCCCCCTGCTTGTGTTCCCTCTCGCTGTGTCTCTCTCTGTCAAACAAATAAATAAAATCTTAAAAAAAAAAAAAAGCAGCCAAAGGAAAAAAAGACACATATACATCAGACTTCTCAACAAACTATGAAAGCCAAAAAAATAATGGAGACACATCTCTAAAGTACTGAAAAAAAAAAAAAAACTCAGATTTCTTCGCCCAGTAAACATATTAAAAATTGAAAGCAAAATAGTTTTTCAGAAAAACAAAAACTGAACAGAAGTCATTATCAACAGATCTTCACTCAGGAAAAGTTAAAGGAAGCTCTTCAAGCAAGCAGGAAATAATACCAGATGAAAATTTGGATCCACACAAAGGAATGAAGAGCAGCAGAAAGGATGAATATGTGGGTAAATATAAAATACATTTTTTTTTGTTTCTTTAAAGGATAAATGACTGTGTAAGGTTCAATAATAATTTTTTGAGGGAGCATAACATATGTAGATTTTCCTGACTATTCTTGTCTGTTTATTTTTCCATATTAACTTTATTTTTTTAAAAGATTTTATTTATTTATTTATTTGACAGAGAGAGAGAGAGCGAGAGAGGGAACACAAGCAGGGGGAGTAGGAGAGGGAGATGCAGGCGGGAATGCTGAGCAGAGAGCCCGATGCAGGGCTCGATCCCAGAACCCTGGGACCATGACCTGGGCCGAGGGCAGATACCTAACACCCAGGAGCCCCTCCATATTAACTTTAAAATGAACTTTCCAGATCCAGAAAAAAATGTTTGAGATTTTTATTGGAATTGTATTAACATTATACATTTATATGGGAAGAAGTGTCAACCTCATGATACTTAATCCTTAGCCAAGAATGTAGGAGATCTTTTAATTTGTTCAAGTCTACTTTGTATTTCTCAAAAGCACTTTACAGTTTTCTTCATATAGATTTTGTATCTTTATTGGGAAACTTAAATCTTAATAACTACTGACTTGTGAAAATGAATTAGAAATGAAGACTCTCTCTAAAATTAAATTACAGGTCAAAGGGGAAAAGTGGGATTGAATTTGTAAAGCTTGATTTACATGACTTTTCAAGGAAAAAAAACATTTTACTATAAGGTAAGCATTTACAAAAATAAGTAAGGTGATTAATAACTATAATAAAATAAATGTAAAATATGCCTTTCTTCCCTTGAATGAGCCATTTTCTTTTAGTTGGTATATCTTCTACTAAAATTAGCAACCTACATACTGTTTTTCTATATTTTTTACCAATTATTGAGAGAAAGATGTTGAAGTCTCCAAATATAATTGTGGATTTATATCTTTCTCCTTTCAGTTCTATCAGTTTTTGCTGAAAGTGTGAAGTATTTTGGAAGAACTGTTGTTGGTACACAAACAGTACTGTTAAGTCTTCTTGGTGAATAGACCCTTTTAAAATTATAGACTGCTCTTATGATACCTACATTGTCTGATATTAAAAATATAATATAATTATATTTTTGTTATTTTCTATTTGCCCCATCTCTTTTTTGTTTCTTTCTTCTTCTTTTTCTGACTTTTTTGAATTATTTTTATGATTCCTTCATATTTCCATTATTAGCTTATTAATTATATTTCTATAAAAGTATTTTAGTGGTTGCCTTAGGGCTTATAATTTACATCTTTAATTTATCACAGTTTATTTCAAATATTATATTGCTCCATGTATAAGGCAGAAAGCTTACAAGTGTACACTTAAAATTCCTCCCTCCCAATTTTTGTGCTATTGCTGTCACACATTCCTTTTATATATGCTATAACTCCACAATGAATTTGCCATTATTTTTGTTTTAGATAGTTAACTATCTTTAGAACAAGTAAAAATAAGGAAAAATTATCCTTTTTTTTTTTTTAAGTAGGCTTCACACCCAGTGTGGAGCTCAACATGGGGCACAAACTCACGACTCTGAGATCAAGACCTGAGCTGAAATCAGGTGGGACACGTAACTGACTTAGCCACCCAGACACCCCAGGAAAGAATGTCTTTTATATGTCATTTTAATTTTAACTATTTCTTAAGATCTTTATTTCATTGTATAGATACAAATTTCTTTCTGGTATCATTGTCCTTTTGCCTGAAAGGCTTCCTTTAACATTTCTTATAGTGCAGTCTGCTGATAATCAAATATCTTCGTTTTGTTTACATAAAAAAGTCTTCATTTCTCCTTCATATTTGAAATGGAGGTGTGGAACCTAATCTCCCTCCTTTGAGTATGGGCCAAACATCATAACTTGCTACTGACAAACAGAACCAGATGGAAGTGACAGTGTGTGACTTGAAAGACTAGGTCTTAAAAGGCACTATGGCTTTTGCCTTGCTGGCTTTCTCCACAGTGGGTGACAAAACCACCAAGCAAAGCCACTCCTAAATTTCTGACCCACAGAAACTAGGAGACAAGAAATTTTTGTTGTTTTAAGCCACTAAATTTGGGGGTAATTTGTTACACAGCAGTATACAACTACTACTGAAGTTCTCTGGGTTTCTTGGATCTGTTGTTTGATGTTTTCATTACTTTTGGAAATTTCTCAGCCATCATCTCTCGAAATGTTTCTTCTGCCCCAATCTCTATTTTTCTTTAGGGATCTCAGCTGCATGTATGTTAGACTGTGTAGTGTTGTTCTGCAGTGCTTGGATGTTCTCTTTGCAGTTTTAAACACTTGCCAAATCAGCCTCATCACGACCTCTCACCTCTTAAGACATCAATCCCAGATGAGAGACTCCACAGGGATGTGCCTCAAAGCTCCTAAATTTTAATAATTCCAAGCTCTTCCCTTTGTTCCGCCTGCCCTAGAGGGGTTAGCTGCTTCCTGAATTTGCTAACTTTGTGATATATTATTGTTTTCTTATTACCTCTTGAGTTAACAATTTACCCTAATAACAATTTTTATTAACATTTTCTCTGTTCAAATAGCAGGTATGGTTTCTATTTTCTAACTAAACCCTGACTGACTCAGAAACTGGTATGGAGAGTCCCAGTAAACAAATCCTCAAAGATGGGATTGTAGTATTTGTTTAGTTGTGTCCTTGGACTTGATTGTAGTGTGAGCTCCTTGCTAATAGAAAGTGGAATGTTGTGATCCATTTCATGAAATGGTAACACAATTAGTTGATATTACTCCAACATACTTGGCCATGGAAACTTTTGTTAAAAGAAGCATCTTACAGGACTAGTATTCAGCAGAATAAACTTTGGGAAATGCTGGCTTAGCCATACTTCTCTATTCAGTGTGTCCTCCCTAAACACATTAAGCATGTTCAAGTTGCTGCTCATGCTTTATCTAAATTGAGAAATTTATACTCATCATTTGAGCCTCAATCCATGTTATACATCAAGTGTTTAGAGCTTTTCCTGACACTGAATCCAAACACGTCCCCACAGGAACTAACTGGTAGTATTGCTTTATACATCTAAAATGATCATTCTCACATTATATCATAGTTGCTTGTTTACAAATACGCCTAGCCCACTAAAATTGGAGCTCTTTGAGAGAGTCCTTGTCTGATTCATCTTTATATCTCTCATGCTGATCAGAGTGTCTAGCATATAGAAGGTACAATTAACTGGTATGGCTATCATTCATGAGAATGGTTATGGAGGCTAGCTATATTTATTCATTAAGAAAAATTGGGGCACTTTGAATTTGGTATTATTCCAGAAGAGGATAACAGACATGCTTTGTTATTTGAAATGAATTTGTATATCATTCTTACCATGTGTTACAATTTCCTCTCAAGGGCAGAAACTTGTTTTTGTTTCCATTTTACATATCTGTTCACCCTAGACAGGCAAATAAATTCAGATCAACAAGCATATACTTGCTGTATGCCAGGTACTATAGCAAACCTTAAATACACGAACATGATACATATAAATGCTCATAGTTCAATGGGGAGACAGACTCAGAGTCAAGGAAATTTCAATATCAATATAAGTACAATAATGGAAAGTATATACAAGTTGTAGGAGTAGTTTAGCAGAAAAGATAAACTCTCTATGAGAAGAATTAAGGAAAGACTTCCCAGAGATTTCTGAGCTGTAGTTTGAAGGAGGAATAGTAGGAGTTTTACAAGTGGACCAGAGGCAAGGGCATAAATTAAAAAACAAACAAACAAACAAAACAAAACAAAAACCATGGAGGCAAAAAATAGTAAAATTTTGAAGAACTAAGAGCAGTTTCAGGAGCATTAAGCACCAGATGGTTTGTGGCAGAAAATGAGGCTGGAAATTTAGGCAAAGCCCAGATCATGAGAAGAGCCTAAGATGCCATTCTAAGGAACTTACACTTATCCATCAGGTGATGGGGAGACAGAGAAGATAAATAACATTTATTTTTCCTTTGCTGAATTAGTTAAAATTTGTAATATATACATTGAACAAACATCTGTTGAGCACTATTAATACTACAGGCATTTTGCTGTGCACTGGATTATGTGGTGGAGTTGTACCTTTAGGCTCTTCATAAATGACATTTTTGTTAAGATAGATAGCCCAGATTTCATTTATACTTTCTATCCTCTCAGTTAATTCTTATCATAAACTTGCAGGACAGTATTTCTAATTTTGTTGGTAATGCTAAGACCAACACTTTGAATCATTTCTGCCAGGTAGCAGATTTTTCAGGAACCCACTTTATAAACTACAATTAGTCTTCTATAAGGGGAAAATTATTTCCTTTATTCCCTTTCTAAATGTCATAGCTTTCATCATATTTTTGTTATACATTACTATCTACATATTTCTATTTAAAGTTAGCCCAAGGAAATCCACATCTTTTCTGCCTATGAACTCTTCTATTTAAAATAAATAGAAGAAAATAAGAAATTTTCTAAAATGAAGGTAATAAGCATCAGGAAGGAGTAAGAAAGGTCCCTAGAAAGTAGAAATAATGCATAAAAGAGTTAAATTCTAAGTATTATCTCAGTAAGCAATACGAAGATATAAGTGGAAGTCTGGATATCGAAACACAGAATTACATAGAGAAATTATATAAAAATCAAATGGCCATCATTTCTATAATAGAGGCTCAAGGGAACAAGTAACACTTGAAATTTCAAAATCAGTGATGGCATAGACAGGAATGAGCAGTGCCTTATTAAAGATGGTATTCTTATAATATACAAAGCATGTCCCCAACTGTTTCCTACCAGTGTCCTGAATATTGGTAAAAAGCAAAAACAAAAAAACCTTCACACCTAGATGAAAACAAATGATCTGAAACTGGTTGCTGATTTGTTACAAAAAAAATTCTAGTTACTGTTTTAATTATTCTCCTCTAAAAAGAGAACCAGAGGCAAAGAAAATTTGCTAGCACTGCAAAGAATCATGAATTTTAGTTAGATATGGAGATGAGTGCCTTGAGTGAGAAGGTTGCTCAATTTGGGATTACATATTATGAAACCTTTTTCTGCATGTTTCTAGACATAGGCGGGATTATAAATTGTATATCTTGCTGTGAGGAAGGGAACAGACAAGATTTCTCAAGATCCTGTCAAGCCTGGTGATCTTTGGAAATGAAAGCCTAATTAAGAGGCTGCCTAGGGACAGGTCAAAGGCGTTCTTTTATCTCTACTGCCCTATTCCAGATTCTTGATGCTTATTCTGCTTTCATTCAGCCTACTCTAAAACTGAAGAATACATATTGTGCAAGTTTCCACCTTTGCTTCCTCTACTGTAAATGCATTAGACTATTAGGGTTAAGAATTTTAAATACCTCGTCCCTTATCTATGAACTGATCGGTTTTGTTTTTGAATAGAGCTTAACATTTAAAATTCTTCTATTTTTTTTCAATTGGACAACAAAACTTTTTAGACTCTGACTATAAGTCCTTCAAATATCTTTTAATAAAGCTGATAAATAATACACGTTGTCAAATTTCATTTCGGATTTATGTCTTCCTTCTAGTTTCAAATACTGTGTTGCATGCAATTATTTACTTGGGTTAAACGGTTAGAATCGTATTGAGTGTCTGACTTCTTGGAAAGCTTTAGGGCGAGTGTCTCTACAGTATCACCCAGATACGAATATCAACTGATGTACGTTTTAAAACTTAACATAATTATTTTGCAGATTTAAAGTAATTAGTGTCATGCCCTTGATAGTACACGAGGAATAGTAGGGCATTCTCTTGTTCTTTCATATCCTCCGCTCCCTCACATGAAAAATTAGTGACATTAATTTACGTAAGTTTTGAACAACCCTGTAGAGGTGAAAATGTTCTAAGTATGACAATTCTATGTGAAAGAGTTTTCCAAAGTTTACAAGCAGGTGTGGATACTGCTGCATCCCCGACCAACAATCTTTCCTCAGACCACTCCACAGCGCCATGTTAAAAATTTTAATTTAAAAATGTAACTTCTAAAACTCTAAATTTAACTATAAGTTTCCTCTTACCAACACTCATTAGCAACATCTAAAAATAAAGATGGGCTTTGGATGCTAACCCTCAGTAGACGATCTCCCCAATCACCATCCCAAACGCTGTACACAGCCTCACTCAGGTCGGCAATTACCAGCTCCTGGTCCTTGGAGTAACGATATAGCTGCACCTGATTGGTGCACCGTCTTGTCAGTCATAACGAGAGGTGGTCCTCAAAAGCCCGGTCTAAATGAGACGCTGTGTTTTTTTACGTCATCTGCCAGCGACGAAAGCAGGAAGGGGGGTTGTGAGCACAGCTTGGTGGTGGCGGGGGTAGCCTGCGAAGGTGTCATGGCCGCTGCCGCTGAGCTTAGTCGCTCGAGCAATGGTGACAGGAGTCTGGAGCGGAGCTGCAGCCCCAATCTCTCCCAAGAGGTGCTCTGCGAATTCTTTCGCTCTCTGCATAGCCTGGTGGGACAAGTGAGTGGTGATCTGTGGGAGTAGGGGTGTGGGAACTATCCGGCCCCTCCCCCCTTTTTTCCTCTTGCGGAGGCGGGGGCTGCGGAGGGCTGCCGGGGGGCTGTGGAGGGCTGCTGGGGATCGGGAGAGACTAGCTGAGGCCGGAGGAGGAGCCCGAGCCCAGCAGTCTGCGGTCGGAGTGAGGATGGCCGTACGGGCTTAGTTCAGGATGGGTTGCAGATCAGATTTCCTTGCAACTCTTCTCCCCGAGAGTGAGAGAGCGTAGTGTAAGTGAAAAACCCGCTCCGAGAAGAACTGGCTTGGAGAGAATGAACGTGTAAAAAAGCTTTGTGGGTTTGGAAGGTGCCTGGCGCTCACGATCCCCTTTCCTTCAGTGAATTCATTATAGAAATTGATAGGTTTGTACGGCCTCAGAATTTTGGAAAAGCTCTCCCCGCCTTTTTTGGGTGATTTGCTTTTAGGAGTCACTTGGTTTCTTTCTTTTTTTCCTTCTGGTCGTTGTGTGCATCTCTTACCCTTTCATATGGGGAGGAAAATAAAAGGAATTAATGTAAATACTTCTTGCATAAAGTTGGATGAGTTATCCATGGTTGATACAGTTTGCATCAGAACTGTTGTTTAATCATTTAATTATTAACTAATTTAACTGGCTGATAAATAGCTTCTGCAGAAATGTCATAATAAATTGGATTTAAATAAAAGTACTCCTTACATTCTATTCCAATCAACTCACTACTTCGTTTCATGAACTAAAATGCAAAGCATACTATAAATGAGAAACAACTTGAAAATAAGTTTGTTTGCTTTTAAAAAGGAAATCTTTTCTCTTGTATCTTGGACTATTTTCCAGCTCTAAAAGTTTGTTATGAGGTCGGTACTAGTGCATGTAGTAGGCACATTAGACTTTTATGTCAAAGATAATGTTAACTTTATGAAAGCAGAACATTTGTCTGATTTGTAAAAAAATTTTTAAAAGCCGTGGGTGGATGGAGAATAAATTTTTTAAAAGGTTATTTCAGTATTTTTAAAATCGTAGTATGTTTGTCGTGCCTTAAAAAAAGCATTACTCTAAGTTAAAATTTTGTTTGGTGTAACAGAACAATTATTAATAGAATCTGCTAAAAGTTGTAACTTTTGAACTCAGTTGTTTGCCATGGACTTACTAAAATTTTTTAAAGACCTGGGGACATTGATATTTTAGTCTTATCACCCAACAGCTGTAATGGTATAATGGTTTAAGAACGTTTTATGTCCTGGACATTGGAATTTTAAGGTTTATTTGTATTTTAATGTCAGGATGAAAAAAGTTTATGCTCACCTATAATTTACAGAAGTTTTATTTTCAGTGGTGAGATATTTTTAAAGTAACATTAAGAAATAAACATTTCTTTTGAAATATATTGCATATTGAATTTTTAAAACTCATTTACAAATTTTAATACATATTTGTGATTAAAGTTATGTCACCTGTCAAAAATGTTTGGAGTAAATATTTGGAAAGATAACGTGACACAGTGAAGGAGCCATCTATACAAGTGTCAAAAAATTAAATCATTGTCTCATCGGTTAAATACTAACCATTTTGATGTTACTCTTTATATTTTGAGATGTATTGTTAAAAGATAAGAATGAAAGCCACAATACTTATAAAATTGCCCCTGGAGGAAAATCACTATTTACTTTTGCAACAAGTTTACAGGATGTTTTTTTAAATGTAAGTTTAAAAAAAAGTTTCCATATGCTTAATTTCATTCTGCATAGTATCATTATATTGTTGGCTCTCCTCAATAGGAAACATAAAATTGAATGTTAAAAAGTATCCCACATTTCAAATTTACTGGTTTTAACCTTATTGCTTGCCTCTTCATGGCTCATTTTACCAAGTTGAAGCATTATTTATTGTTAGCTTGGATTTTCATATTAATTTAAGTTTTTA